AACATGCCTTCTGTGTAAATAAAATAGATATATGCATAATTTTGTTGGGATGGCTTAAAAACAAAGATGGAATGTTTCTGCATTGATTGGAGACAGATTTACAAAATCTGGATATCTATCCCTCCAAGGGTACTAAGTGTTGCTTATTCCGTGCCAAATGTTGGAGAACATTGCTGCTCACTTTTCGCAGCATGCTGCTTGGCAACATTCACACATGTTAAAAAGCGTAAGAAGCCCGTTTTTTGGCATTAATCATTAATGCAAAAAATAGCTCTACAAATTGGAATTAATGTTCGTTAGACTTTTCGGAAAAAAAATTGTGTCATTTGGACCCCGCCTACCTCCCGCCACCATACGAACTGGAACCCATTTACGTCGTATTTATTATAAAAAAATGTATTCCAAAGATTAGTTATGATAAAAGATCCTTTAAAACATTTTAGAATTTTACAAAAATATATTTGATTGACTGTCTGAATGATTGTTTGGTTAAAAGTAATTTGATTGGAATCGCTCCAACGTACGATTGCATTTCGCTCAGTACTTGTTTAACTAAGCAATAAATTTGATCATTTTTGTTTGAATTGTAATAGTTTCATCTTTAGTTGGTTAGTTTTCGTCAATACTTCTTTAAGTACAAGATTTTATTGCGTCTGCTTCGCGATTGTTGTTGGTCCCAGACCTCCAGCAGCGCTGCATAAATTAACTCAAATATTAACATTTTCCGAAAAGGGGCAAAACCGGGAAAAAAGCATTAACACCACTTGATTCTATAATAGTTGGATCATTCTATCAATGTGCCTTCCTTTCACTATTAAAAAAAACATTTTTGCCTTTGGAAGTTATTAGTTTTGGCCACAAAAAGTGGTCAGATTCCCCAGAGTGCAGAGGCTGAAAATCTCAAGTAAATTTCCGTTATTTCCCCCCTACGAAACAAAAACCAGCTACAATTTGCTTGCAACAACAAGAGCATTGATAAGGGTGGAATGGTGAGAACAATTGAATGTAGTAGGGTAGGTAATAGAAAAAAGCAACAAAAGCTTTGGGACAGGGTGGGTTTAGTCACGGCAGAGCCAGAGGCCGCATACTGCAGAAGCAGAGAGCGAATGAGAATGTGCAAAAAAACAAATTTTAGCTTGCTATAATAATGATCCAATCTGATCCCAATCCTTCCCTTCGGAATGCCGTTTTTAGATTCCTCTTATTGTGGATACAGCAGATTTTCGCTTTGTGTGGAGGCGGCTTATTTTTGAAATATGCTTGTATCAGTGTTATATCACAGAACTCTGAATGCAAAATTTGGTGGATCTACAGACAGACATGGATAAATCGACTCGGCTGTGTGTTACATTTTTTCCCCACAAATACAATATACCCTATTTACTCTTCGAGTAACGGGTATAATTAACAGCACGCTGCATTATCAACAACCTTCGACAACAAATTTTCAAGGGAAAGCCACAGAGAGAGAAAATTATTACTAACTTATTACCTTTTCGAAGATCGATACTTTTGACACCCTGGCAGAATTTATTTTAGAGAAATTGATTAATTGAGATTCTCGTAGGTTCTGACAATTTCTGGAGAAGCAGGAGCCACACGCTCGAACATACATATACATATGTACATATTTTGACTGCTTTGCTTTTCGTGTGGTGTCGGCTGGGGTAGGCAGGGACGTGGGCCCAAAAGAAGATGGGATGGGAAAAGAAGAGAAGACAAATGCCTGGCGCTGGCCCTCAAAGGAAAAACAAAAGAAAAACCAAGAAATAGGAACACTCTCCTTCTACAGCTTCTTGTGAGCCGTTGCATCAAAGGTAGGGCATGCGAGAGGGTATAGTCACTTGGAGAAGAAATGAATGGAAGGAACTTCCTCTTTTTGTTGTATTCACATTGTAGAGTATTTTTAAGTAGTTTTAATCAATGTAAAACAGCGTTAATGCGTTTTAAATGAAGGGTGCCCCCGACCATTGATGGTCCCACCACTACAGATCAATCTTGGGTTAGGATTCCCAGCCTCCTAGACGTACCCCAATTATGGACTGCTCTTTCCACTCTGATAAGAAAGTAAAGAAGAGCAAGAGACCATCTATCAACTGAGAGAGCATGAAAAAAGGTGTGCGATAGAAGTGCATTGACCGCAAAGAGTGAGAGAGAGGACCGCTTAATGTAATTAGCTGATTTTTAATTTGAATTCGATTTTCGACCTGGACTGCCTGTCTGCCGCTTGTACAATTGACGAAAAAACGTGAAGGGACGTGTGAGACGCATCTTACGCGTCACAACTTTTATACACGGTCCTCAGTCAAAATACCTGTCCCATATTGTTATAGCCGGTACTCGAAGGGTAAATAGGGTATATTGTATTTTTATGTAACGCACAGAAATAAATTATATATATTCTTGATCAGCATCCATAGACGAGTCGATAGAGCCGTGTCTGTCTGTCCGTCTGTCTGTCTTGTTTGTCGGCTAGTTCTCAGAGACTATAAGAGCTAGAGTCACCAAATTTTACTTACACTGAAACCAGTGTATTTCAAAAATGAGCCACGCCCCCTTCCGCCCCCGCAAAAGGGCGAAAACCTCCAAAATCTACAATTTTGAAGATACAAAAAAACTTTCCATAGGGAATGGCCATATCTATCAGATCACCAAATTGGATCATTATTATAGCCAGAAAAAAAGAAATTAATTAGCAGTGGCTAAACCCACCCTGTCCCGCAGCTTTTGTTGTTCTTTTCACATTCTCTCATTCACACTCTGCTTCTGCTTCACTCGGCACCTGCCTCTGCCATCCCCCTGCCGATGACTCTTCCGACTTTTAACCCACCCCGTCCCGCAGCTTATATTTGTTTTTTTTTTGTGTGAGGGCGCTGCCTCTGCCTCGAGTCTGCAGTGTGTGGGTCTGGGAAGGGCGGCGAGCTAACGGAGCGTGTTGGTGTGAGAAGTGTTGTAGATGAAGATAACAGATGAAGAAAAAATTTAAAATTTGACAAAACACCGCTAAGGTGCAGATGTAGTCCTGAGTGCCGGGTATAAAAGTTGTGACGAGTAAGAAGCGTCTCACACGTCCCTTCTCGTTTTTTATTGAATTTTATATGCTTTTTACATTTGATGTTTTACATTTTTTCTACACCTGTCATCTACATAACTTCTCACGCCAACGCGATATTTTCGCTCGCCTCCCCTAGAGACACACACTGCAAATCCACGCCTGAGGCAGAGACGCGGCAGAGGCAGAGACACGGAATAGGCAGAGGCCGCACACTGCAGAAGCAGAATGTGAAAAAACAACAAAAGCTGCTGGACGGGGTGGGTTTAGCCACTGCAAATTAATTTCTTCCTTGTGGCTATAATAATTTAGCGATCTGATAGATATGGTCATTCCCTACGGAATGGCGTTTTTAGCGTCTTTTATCTTCAAAATTGTAGATTTTTTAGGTTTTCGCCCTTTTGCGGGGGCGGAAGGGGGCGTGGCTCATTTTTGAAATACACTTGTAACAGTGTGAGCATACAGAAGTCTGGATGCAAAATATGGCGATCCTAGTCTGTGAGATATAGTCTGTGAGATCCAGGCGCTCAACAAGACGGACGGACAGACGTACAGATGGACAGACAGACATGGCTCAATCGACTCGGCTATTGTTACATACATCCACTTTGTACTCTTCGAGTACAGGGTATAAAAACTGTTTACGGTTGCATATTAGCAGCGGTGCAGCTGTAGCTGTGGAACTGCCTGCAATATATTGCATGAGAATGGCTTCGTTTTCGGTGGCCCATTGTTAGCCCAATTGCTGTTGCTGCTGCTGTTGTTGTAATACCTGTAAGCACATACATAGCTGAAAAATGCATTACCGCATATTGATTCCATCAAGATGGTAGAGCTAAGGTGGGTGTGTTGTCGGTTGGGGGGCGCTTTTGGTCGCTTGTTTTGCGCATTTCCCACTCTCATTCAAATGTCAATCGAGTCACGAGCTGAGTGTCTACCGCGTATTCGAGTACACCTACCACAATCCCCCACTCTTCCCACCCCTCTCCCGTTACGTTCACAAAATGAAATCAAAATAATGTGAAAACAAACAATGAAGAAGAAAAACCCATTTCCCTTAATATTTTTCCAAACCGACTGCAGCATTTTTTTGTGTGTTAGTTAAAATTCTGTGCGGGCTCAATTACCGAAGTCATCAAATCAAGTCTTTCTTCAACAGGCACTCCAGGGAAGTCGTATAAAAAGTGTGTGTAAAGGAGGGGATATAGCGATTTATAGCTGCTTGTCGGCCATGACTTATAAGAGATCTTCAGATAGTTTTGGTGTTGTCTTAGAGAGTACTTTACGCATATGTACGTGAAGCTTTGGAGTTGATCTCGATATCGCTTCAGAAGCTTCCTAATTACGTTGATATAGGTTGAGAGGGTGATCTCAGTGAGAATGTGAGAATGTTATTTTGGATAGAAGCATTTTTTGGCGTCGTTTAAGGTATTGCTGATTAAAATCTATGGAGAGAAGTGGCTGACTTAAAATTCTTTGACCAACCTTTCAAACCCTTAATTTTCCGTTAAATACCGACATGGTTTGGGTTTTTTTGCTGCTTAACATTTTTTAAATTAATGCACCTATACACAAATAAAAGACGCAGAAAATATTTTTCGTGTTCGGTAGGAACCACGAAGTGTTTGATTATACTTTATAGATGCATTCATCAGCTTTTTAGAATGGAAAGAAGATTACAACCAGATGCAAGATACATAAATTATTGGGAAAAAAACTGCGCTACCTCTAACAAAATCTTTAAAAAAATTGCAATTTTTTTAAATTAAAACAATTTCTGATATAGAAAAAAAAAGATCATAAAGCAAAAGTCATTTAAAGTCAAAAATCTATTAAAAAACTTGAACGGGGTAGTCGGGTAGTGTTATGTTTGTTTTGGATTGGATTTTAATCAGGACTTTAGTCCTGAAGAAAACTCCTTTTAAATTAACATATGTAAAGTGAAATATGTTTGCTTAGACATTTTTCACTTCATCAAAGATCCCTTAAGCTGGACTTTTTTTGGACCAAGTTGAGGTTAGCATTTCCTTAATCGAGAAAATCATTACGAAAATAATCATCTTTATCTGTCTTAATCGAAAAAATCATACAAAAACAAAAATAAAACATAAGGCAAGCCCCCGGAACATGGCCCAGACCTACTCCACTCTGAAATTCTTACAGACACCTACTCGGGGGGTAAGTATTGCAAATTGTATCCCAAACTCAAGTCCCATGTATCCCCATTAACCGATTCACATGGCAATTAGTCCATATTGTTTGTGCATCGAGTAGTATAGCTGGCTGGTGGGTTCTCTTTCACCCGGAACGTGCAACAAGTGCCGCAGCAGGCAGCAGTCAGCAGGTGCTACCAACTATAGGAGATCACGCCTTCTTTCGGTGTGTGTGACCAAAAATATGGATCATGCTTCTTGTTGGATCACTTAGGTTAATGAGTATCTCGTCTAGCCATGCAAATTGTGAACCGAATTGAAAATCAAAGCCTGAACTTGAGGCACAGCCCACTCGGAACCACAACAGCCCCTTTGGGGCTCCTTAATCTCCATATCGCGAGTCTCTCGAGTATTCTTTTTAAAGAAAGACCGAAAAAAAATACAACAAAAATTATCCACACTTTGCACCCTTTTGACAGAAAGTGAAGCCTCGATTCATGGCTAATTTAGGTGGGTCTGTGGAGCGAAAGAAGGGTGTCGGCCGAGGACCCTGAGTTGGGTGATATGGGCGAAGTCTAAATGCAGCACATGATGTTAGTTGTTGTTGCTGTTGCAGGCAGTCAGGTAGTGTTGCTACATATTAAATGCACTGCAGCTGCAAACACTTTCACTTTTTTCTATGCTAATTTTCCCTGCAGAAAGCGAGCCATACCATACATAAAAAATTGAAGGAAAACTAAAATGTTGGGTATAAGTCGAGTTTCAATTTTTATGAATTTCCAAAAATTATTCCTAAGCGGATGATATGTTGATGTTTCGCCAAACTAAAGTACTGACAGCATTGTCGCATCAGAATTACTGCAATTAAAGGTAAAGAGAAGGGAAGATTAAAACAAATTAGAATTTGGTATCTATTAAATTTAGTACTTTGACATTGAAAATAAAAAATTTAACAGTAAAAATAACATTTTTTGCCTAGATTTAGAAATTAATTAAGTTATTTTAAAAAACCCCCTGTATAATTTAAGATCAGTAATCTCAAGCTGAGATTTCAACAATCGAAAATACATTTGAGCGCTCTATGAAACACTGAACTAAACATGCCATAAAACTTTGATGACCTTTTGATTCTAGTTTTTTTGCTTGATTAATCTATTTTGGGAATGACCGTATCTATCAGATCACCTAGTTGGGATCAGATTAAATGATTATTATAGCCAGAATGAAGAAAATTATTTTTAAGTAGCACCCCCAGGTGGGATGAGGTCATCCAGCCGTTTTTTGTATTTTTTGCACATACTCTCATTCCACATTGGTCTTCGTGCAGTGAGAGGCTCTAGGGGCCGAGCTAAAACAGCGTGTTGGCGTAAGATGCGTTAATATTAAGCTACACTGGAAGAGAGGAGAGGTAGAGCGCTGACTGTGTTGCTATTGGTTTTCAAAATTGTAGGAATAATTTCCTCTGTCCAAAACTTGTATCAGTTCTTTGACAAACACTTCCTCAAAAGGTGATCATATAAAAATGCAAATTTTTCGGTAAATACATATGTACATACATATATATGTATCTGGATTTTTATAGTTTTGTTACTTCTGGGTGTCACATAGAGACGCCGAGGACAACAACTCCATAACTGACCAGAGGAAAACCAATATCAAAACCGAATCCTCAACGAAAGCATTTTGGCTTGTCTGAATGGAAACCACCTGCGAACAATTTCCCAAGCAAAACAGCAACCAAATGCTGAAGGAAAAATGCCGCAAATCGTCTGGTACGTCTGGTACCAATTTGGCGGCGATTCGCGGACTCACGTCAGGCCCAGGGTGTGGATCGACAGCGATGGGGACTGAGGTGTTTTCGGGGCAATAACGTCCATAGACCTTTTTGTGAAAGTGAAATTGTTGCTGCAAAGTCTGTTGGCGTCTCTTAAGCTTCGACTGCCACTTTGTTTTCCTGCACGTTTCGTAAGAAGTGCGGATTTATTTTTTCCGAAAATCTACGACGATGATACACTCCCTGAACAAAAAGGAGATGGACGAGTAATATGAATTTTTAATGGGAGTCAAGGAATCAACAGATATAGCAAAGATATTGAAAAATAACATAAAAGAGAGTGCATGCAATATTGTGAATAAGAAACAAAGAAGCTGACAATGATTTGAATATGTGCTACAGTTAGTTCTCTATTCTGATTTCACTAGGAATGTCAATAAAAACGATATTACCCTATGAAATATTGCCATTTATCGCCCTGTATTTCTCCTCCATAGTGTACCTTCTACTTCGGTGGGTTTTCCCTCCAGCTAGTCTTTTTCCTCCAGCTATTTCCCGCTGTCGTCTCGTTTTTGGCGGTGTTTGATAATTGACTCTAAGCGCATGAATAATAACAAACAACAACGAAAAGCAGCAGCTACAACAAACAACAGACGTCTTCAGGCAGGCAGGAAGGCCAGTGGGCTAGGAAATCGCGGTTTCTATCGCGTTTCACTAACATGGAAAAAGCAAAATGGAAAATTGCAAATAAAGTCGTCACACAACCATGATATCTAAAGGCGGGGCAAGGGAACCACTGAAACAACCACTGGACGCAGACAGGCGAACGTTGCGTATACTTTTTGTCGAGGTGAACCGAAATATCTATTTGAATCGTTTTTTCTTTATACAAATTTTATTCGTATATTTTTACGATTATTTTTTAATTTTGTGCCATTTTCTTTTTTTTTTTTAGTTTTTTTATCGTTTTCAGTTTTGAACTGTTTTATTTTTTCTTTCTGTGTACATATATACATACTTATGTGTGGATATTGTGGGATCTGTGTTGGTCTCTAGGATATGGCATCTCTTTTTGGGTCCACAAGGAGGTTCAACACTTTTTCGTGTCGCGTTTTCGTTTAATTTTTGTCGTGTCCTATGATTTATTTGACATGACAGCCAAATTAACAATTAGTCAGCAATGTTGAATTTTTAATGAATTTTGTATTTTTTCTTTAATTCTGTTTGTGTGGGGGAATCGATGGCAACAGCCAGTTTGCAGTGAGACGCAAACACGCAATTTTTACGCCCAGTCGTAGATACCCAGACAACTAAGCCACTGAATAACGTGGGTATTGCTGCTCCAATTTTGCGCACCTGCTGTTAGATTATAAAACAGAAATCAATTATGAATCGTCTAGGGGCAAACATTTATTTAGTCAAACCAACCTGCAGCTGAACGGCATGACAATCATATGCTGAAGCAGTAAAGAACGATTAAGTTGGGTATGCCCACACGTTATACTTTTCGCATGTACTCTCGATGCACCAAGGGCAGCCAAACGTTAATTTCACTTTTGACTGCACTTGACCCACTCTCTTTTTAAATTGAAGCGAAGTACATCTACATCTGCCGCAGATGCACATTAATCATATAATAAACAGAACACAGCAGGATATTGTTTTGGGTAGGCCGGCAACCGGCATATCGCCATTCACTTCCCAGACTGGCTCTCGATGACGAGTTTTATTTTGGTTGCTGACTCACGGATGCTAAAGCTAGTAGTTTAAAACAAATTGAAAGTCGCCATAAAATTGCACAAGAAATCGATAGACGCAGTGATGGCTGTAAAGCAAATTAAAGTATGCTGAGAAACCAAATGGCAGCGTATTTAATTGAATCTTTGGGAAAGCAATCCAAAATCCGCTTTATACCCGACAAGATATTCCCTCATGGAACCTTACTAACTTTTCTAAAAGATATGGGGCTTAGAAATTGTCTGATGATTTATTATTTTTTTCTATGGCAGAACTTTTTTTAAAGAGTTTTTAAAAACTGGTATATTTTGTTAACGCTTTTTTTAGAGGTAGCTTTTTTTTCACATAACTTAAGAATCTTACCTCTGGTTGTAATGATCTCTGTCATTCTAAAAATTTTATAAATGTATCTTTAAAATATATCTAAACATTTTGTGGCTTTAACTTACAGTCTGGAAAATAATAACAATTCAAATGCCAAAACTATGATTCTTGTGCAGTATTTTTGTAAAATTTGACTCAGGAAAAGACGAAAAAAGATTATTCCCTGTGTCCTTGCACTGTTCAGGGTATTGCTCATTTAAATCTATGGAGAGTCGGCTGAGATAAAATTGGTTGACAAAATGAATGCACCTATACATAAAATAATAAAGAACGACGGATATCATTTTTTTTCGACTTTTCCTGAGTCAAAACTTTGTAAAAAATACCGTACAAAAATCGAAATTGTTGCATTTGAAAGCCTTGTGTATCTTAGAGGGTAAAATAAAGCAAGTACATGTTAAGGTACAATTTTTAGCTGCACAATATTGCTTTTCAGATTAGCAATGTTCATTACAATTAGATCTAAGATACTTAAGTTATGTGAAAACTACATCTAATAAGAAGGGACGTGTGAGACGCTTCTTACGCGTCACAACTTTTATACCCGGCACTCAGTACTACTACATCTGCACCTTAGCGGTATTTTGTCAAATTTTAAATATTTTCTTCATCTGTCATCTACATCTACAACACTGCTCACGCCAACACGCTCCGTTAGCTCGCCCCCCTTCCCTAGACCCACACACGATAGAAAAAAAAACAGAATACAAATCAAATTAATAGGAAAGATAAAACATTTCACAGTTTTGTCAGCAGTGTCAGGCAAACCATTTCACACCGACAGCAAATGGCGAGAGAACATGCCGAATCCACTCCCCCCACCACCACTCGCTGTGGCTCCCTCACTTTTGAACCTGAATGAAAACCGAAGACGTGCCAAATGAATGGATGAATGGACTGACTAGTTGACTGAATGAGGTGGCAAAAATTATACACTACTCAAATGGATGGGTTACAGTGTGTTGAAAATGGGTCGAAAGTGATTTAAAACGGAGGGGGCTTTACAAGGAAGAAAACTCTTATAATATTTTGGACAGGCTTTACAGGGAAGAAAACTCTAATAATATTTTGGAAATGTTTAAGTAGAATTAAGCGTTGTAATTACCAAAGTATTCGAAGTTTGCTTAATGATTAGAGAACAAATGGACAAAGAATAGTGTAAATGCTAAATGTTTTTTGTCAAGTTTTACATTTTTTCTTAATCTGTCATCTACATCTACAACACTTCTCAAGTCAACACACTCCATTAACTCGCCACCCTCCCCAACAGCCACACACTGCAGAGTCACGGCAGAGGCAGAGACGCTGCAGATGCCGAGGCAAAGGATTTGGAAGCACACTGCGCGAAGAAGAGTGTAAATGAGAGAATGTGAAAAAAACAAATATAAGCCAAGGGACGGGGTGGGTTTAGCCAAATTAATTTCTTCATTGTGGCTATAGTAATGATCCAATCGGATCTCAATTTGGTGATCTGATAGATATGAC